GCTAAACTAATAAAATTATGGCAAAAAAAGGAACAAATTTGAATTCTGGAAATATTAATAACATTGCGGATCAAAAAGAGTTAATCACGGAATGTTATAATAGTGAAGAAGAAAGTTCTACAGACACATTTTGTCGTAAATTGCAGCAACTGGATGTTGATACGTCACAATGTAACTGTATTCAAATATTATTAAAATATTATTAAAATATTATTAAAATGAATATTCAATCCAATATAAACTAAAAATTTCATTTTCAACAGATACATTATCCTTTTCTAAATTATTATCCACATCTATGCCATATATACCTTCCGATTCCTCTGATTCAGCAAATTCAGCGAATTCTGATGATCAACGTTCGAAAACCCTTCCAAATCGTTCACCATTTGCTTGCATTCGCTTATCAGATGCATTTTGTAACGACTCCCAACCTACAAAATGTAAGTTTGTATGTTAAGAATAAGATTATTACAGTAATATTAAAATATAATGGTATACTAATAATTAAAAGATTTTCACGTGTATACAGATATTAATTCAACTATATCAGTTGACAATAATACGGCTCATTCCATTGACAACCATTCGGAATGCGATAAAACATTACAACATAATCATACATCATCAAATTCATATATTGATATGAAGCAATCAACAAACACATCAGTATATCAGTTGCGTCATCGTCGTTCCTCATTACCTAAGCCATTGATAGAACCAATAACTAAGCAGGAAACCAAATCGCTATCCACGTTTTCTGATCAAAAGAAATCATTGAAAAATCAAATTAAAAATACACTACCAACGCGATCAAATCCCAAACGGTCTTCAACCATCAGCCTACCCTCGTATGAAAATCTTCAAAAAGTAAGAAAATTAATAATCTGTAAGAAAACGAATTGTGGCAAATCATTTGCCAGCGAAGCAGAGTTAGAGGCACATGAACAAACGGTACATCCATATAGATGTCATTATCAAGGATGTAATTCGAGATTTGATAGGTTGGACCTTGTCAAAAAACATCTGCAAACACATACAGATATATATCCAAGGGAATGTGAGGTACCGGGGTGTGGTACGATTTATTTTACAAGAAAATCATATCAAAGTCATCTGATGAAGCATGGAAAATTAGAAAGAATGCGTTCACAAATAGAGGTAGAAAAACCAAATCGATCTAAGAACGTGAATAATCAGAAGAAAAATTACGTGCATGAAAAAAATCCAAATACTGAAGAATTTATAGCACGTAACAAAAAAGATAAAGTAAGCGCGAACAATAAAAAAAATGGAGTACACGAAGATAGTAAAAGACATAAAGTAAATAAGGAGAATAAAAGATATAGAGTAAATGTGGATAATGAAAGTTCA